GAGAGAGAGAGAGAGAGAGAGAGAGAGAGAGAGAGAGAGAGAGAGAGAGAGAGAGTGTGCGAGAGAGAGGGAGAGAGGGAGAGGGGGCGAGAGAGAGAGAGAGAGAGAGAGAGAGAGAGAGAGAGAGAGAGTGTGAGAGAGAGAGTGAGTGAGAGAAAGAATTAAATAAGATTAATGAAAGCAAAAGAAAATGAATGCATTTAAATTATTATAAATTAATCTGGTAATGGAGTTATAATATTTAAATGTTTTGTTCGTGGCTAGGGGTTTATCTAACGCAAATAATACTGAGTGCAATTATATTTTTAGCAACTTTTTTTGTTATCAATACAAGAAAACAGTACAAAAACCATTTTAACTAAACTAATCATTTTAAATTAAAATCAGTTTTATTCCATACATTGACCTAACCCTCTGGCAAACTTTTTGTATGTAACTTGCCACATCATGGCTTATAAGAATTAAAATTTTAACACCAGTTAATACTGTTTCAGTCGCAGTAGTAGTGGCGTTTTTCATCTGCTGGGCCCCATTTCACGCCCAGAGGCTGGTTGCTATCTACTTCTCAAGCAGCGAAGAAAACTGGCCAACTTCAGAGCTAGTCATGGACGTATACTCGGTCGTCACGTACATTTCCGGCATCCTGTACTACCTGTCTACAACCATCAACCCGATCCTTTACCACATAATGTCCCTGAAGTTTCGGGAGGCCTTCAAAGTGAGTATCTGACCATTTCTCAACATAGACTCATCCGAGTCCAGGCACACGACCATCGTCATCAATAACGAAATACGTTTGTAGTACGACGTTTCCGATTTTTTCTAATATTTTTTTCTTTTAAAAGGCCTTATGTGCGCAGGTTCGCTTGACTCTATTTGTATAAAGTAAATTACGACCGTTGTAACGTGATAAAAACACTTAACTTTTAAAAAATGACTGACAACTTTAAAATAGTTTAACAATTTCGTCTGATCTTGCTGATTACTTTAGTGTGATATAATGTCGTTCGTTTTAGGAAAAAATTAAGGACTTTTTCTCTTTCTCTAGTTAGCGAATCGAACTTTTCCTTGATCATTGCGTACGGAGACGAGCTTGCTTCATTTTAAGCAGTCATAAACATTTGAATATTGCAAATTTATTCAAATAGTTTACACAAGATGTTACTAGTTTAAATGCATCCTTCTCATTAAATCTTCTATCCACCTATAACTGTGCAAAGAAATTAATCCTTCTTTGGCGTTATTTAATTTTAACACCATAATGGGAGGGAGTCTGGGCTTTGCTTCCTTGGTAGGTAATTCCTTCTCCTTGGAAACCGTTTTTCACATTATATTGCAATGCACATGGAATATTCTATGGAAGTTAAGTCAGTTTTATTTGGGGAATGTTGTCTTAAGTCAGGATCTTCTAATTAAATATCTGAATGACGTATTTGATCCATGAATGGAGGTAAAGATTTGAATTGGTCAGTCAATACGATACGAACTACATTTGTGGTTTGCACTCCAAAGTCAGTCTCATCTTTGTATTTTTTGATTTATTTTATTTACTTACTATTGTGTACTTTCTATTGCTTTATTTGCACGTACCTACAAGCTTTTTTTAACTAATTATTTTTGCTTTCTTTTACATATTTTTTAAATTCTGCAAATAAAGTATCTATCTCCAAATAGTTTAATATAGTCTGAATGGACTAGGAATTGGCAATATTTTTTTAATATCTTTTATATAATATATTTTTTAAAATAAATATCAGCAAAAATTAGGCTTTAATAGGCAATATTTGAGTAGGCTACAAAATAATGTTAACATGTTTACCATAAAAATATTATTTTTTAAATTAAATATAAACACAGTACGTATAAAATGCCCATTATGCTCGTCCGATTCGACGTGTTGATTGTTATTTACGCTGTGATAATATTATGGTACATTCTAAAATCAGCGAGACCAGACGAACCGTATACTACATAAATGTCTTATGTAACTATTTAGCTTTAAGCCAAACCATTTCTAAAAGATTGTAACATTTGTTTTTTAGAATTTTGTCGAGGATATTCTTAAAATCTAGTTTCAACATTTTGCCTTCTCTAGTCAGTAAATGTTTCGACTGCAAGACTTTATTTTATATTTGAATAAAAAATGATATTATATATTTGAAATACATACTGTATATTCTGATATTTTTTAAAGCTGTTACTGTTGAAACCTAATTAGTCAGAGAATAGCTCCTTGGTGTAGCCTTTATTATAAAAAAAGAGATATAATTAAAATTAAACTTCGTGTACAGATATTTTGATGAACTGAATCACTATTTAAAAACTATACTGTTATCGTATATTTGTTATTGTTATTTAGATTTATATTTTTATTTTTTGTTAACAAAGTCATAACAAGATAATATCGCCAAACTCCAAAAGAGGTTTTGTCAGGCAGTTTTTCTTCATTTCTTAATTCAATTGGAAAATGAGAATTGTAGAACGACAGTCACTTTGTTTGACAGGATAAAAAATCCATTATACTTTTCCCATTCACTTTAGAACTTATGCACCCACTAAAGTTTGAACCGGTTTTATTAAACTAATACATTGAACAGCATTACTAAAGAATTTTAACATAGAAGAAAATGAGGTTTATTGTGTAACATTTTCATGCAGAAACTTGCGTTGATACTCAATATTGTTTGAAATGTTTTATTCGTTTTAACTCGTTTGCATTGTAAGCAATAACACCATAAAACAAAACTATAGGATGGTAGAATAATTAAAATTGAAAAGTTGTAAATAACGGTATAATAATATTAAATTATGGATATTTAACCAATAAAATGCATACAGAGTTTATTCGATATAGTGTGAAAGGAGAAATCTTCTAGCACCTGGGGTCACTCGATGTAGTTCGTTTTGTAAGTACTAGTGCTTTTAAAGTTATGTTTTTTTCACTGACTCTCCTCACATGCAATATTAGGTTTGTATTTCTGTACACCTAGTAAATGAATTAAACCTCAACCTTGCGACAGACGGTTTTAATGCAGCCGGTGAAGTGGAAGTCGTGGGCTTTCAATAATCGACATCAACAATGGTACTATTTATGCCAATTGATCCCTTATATCAGTTGACATTCTAGCTGTATACAGCTAACACTGCCTTTGATACTCGTCGAACAAACAGTGTTTTTTTTTAATCACCCTAGAACAACATCTACCTAGAACTACAAAATTAGGCTTTCCGCCCACTAGGGACGACGTATTATTCTCTTGTCTTTTCCATAGGACTGTATTTTCGGTCTGTCCGTCTTGTATGATACTCGGATTGGTCCGTTAACTCAGTTGTTAGGTTATGATAGCGATTTTTGTTTTTGATACCAAACTGTCTTCAACAATAATGAAGTCATCTACTCCCTCCAAAACTTTGTTTTTTCTTTATCTTGGAAAAAAGCTACTCTGCACCCCATCGGCAAAACTCCAACCCAACGTCCGTTCACTATTTCTGACCCATATCGATCCAATCTAACCTGACCAAACCCCTTGAAATGTTCAATGCCACATCACCAATTATCTAGAAAATTTCCATCTTCTTAACACCCTCGAATCCCGATTCCGAAATTGTTACTCCATCCAATCCGCCTTATTTAACATTACCAGTGACCTACACACCGTAATAGACAAAAATTCACCATATAATTCTCCTTGACTTTGACAAAACATTCAATTCCATCGATCATACATCAGTCATATCCAAATTGAATCCTTTTCCTTTTTCACTGCCATCCGATGGGTCTACTCTTTCCTTACCTGCAGTTTCCAAGCAGTGACTTTTCTATTGGCTACATATCCTCCTTTCTTCCCATATCTTCAGGTGTTCCTCAAGGTTTTACCATTTCGCCTCTTGTCTTTAGCAATTACATGAATGATCTCTCTGACTCCATTGGGAACTGCGATTACAATCTATATGCAATATTTCTAAATTTATAAGTCCTTCTATCCCTCCGATCTAACATTTGGCTATCCCCAAAATTCCGGAAGATTTGAATTCTATAAACAAACCATAGAATTAAATGCTAGAAAGTCCAAAGCCATTGCTATAGGATCTTGTAGACTCCTCAAATCCCTCCCTCCATCCCACTAAACATCATTGTTTTACATGACATTTTTCCTATTGATGTAGGGCTAGAGTCCACTAGGTAAAAAGGAAGAATTTGTTATGAAAATATACTTTGGCACGAAAGGCATGTTTTTGAAAGCTCTCCCGCGTCATTCTTGCCGGCACAACCTTTTGTCCTAAAATGTTAAAAATACTCTTTTCATAAATCAAGATTTTTTTAGTTGTAAAAGTTATATTTTGTTTTTGGTCCTGCAACCATCCAAAATAATTGACAAGTCGGTTGAATTTTATTTTTAACAAATTATAGCAAACACTTTAACCAAATAAGATGGTAAACCAAAATAGATAAATAAAACAATAAACCAAGAAATTAAAAACAATTCAGGTAAATACATGTTTAGTATGTTACAGTTAACAAAGATCAATATTTTATATCTCAAGCCAATCGAGGACAAATATTGATACCATAAATATCAATATCTTACAGTTTTCTTCCTGATTGCTATTATATATAAAACATTTTATATGTATATAATTTGTAGAATTATATTATAAAATGTAATCCACCGTTTAATGGTTAGACAACTTCAGGTAACAAAACGTATTTACCGATAAAATAACAATATCGATTCATGATCATCATTCACCCAAATAAAATCTTCCAAAATATTTTGATAAACATATATTTAAAATATCAATTTTTTTTTCAAGCACCCCTGCTTGTAACTATTTAGTTTGCAAGCATTACACGTTGTTTTAGGAATTTAAAAAAATGGCTTGCCAAATTGATTTGAATTTCTAAATTTATTTGTAATACTGGGTATTACTTACAACAAAAATTTTTTTACAATGTAATCTACCACAATTAAAATTTAATTCGATTTAAAATAAAATAATTTTCGGTCGATTTAACAAAAAAATCTCTAAAATAGTTATAGGCTTCAAAGACTGGACGACCACTGGATTAATATTAATGTCAAAATACTCTAAAATTCCATTTACTTCTACAATATTAAAGTTTGTATAAAATTTTTCTACAATCAAATTTACATTCTATTTTTCAAAACAAATTATGCAAATTATTTAAAAACACTAAATTTTAACTTAGACAAATTTAAATAATCAGATTGTATGAGTTTGAAATGACATAAAATAAGATATAACATATAAACATTCTTGTCTTTTAGTAAATACGTTTTTCATACGAGGATATAAAAGCTAATGAAATTTTATTTTATTTTTGAAAGGAATGTTATCGGTAAAAAATATCGGGTAACATCCTGTACATCAAGTAATTTTAATTAAAGACCTGCTTTTTTTCGTCGGGTAAAAACCAGAATTTTAAGGAGAACAAAGCTTTTCACGTTTGGACCAAACAAAGAAAAAATCCAATTTCACCATTCGATTGCTTGCCTGGAATTAAAAGTTCATTAAACTGTAGCTTTTATTACAAAAAATTTTATTTTTAAGAAGAAACGCGAATATAAGGAGAATGTTTAGTACAAAATGTATTATTGTTTGGTGGTATCTGGTTTTCTAATTAAAACGGATTTTGTCAAGACTGAAAAAATTTAATTTCAATTTAGTAATGCAAAGGCATTCTTAAATGATAAACGTCAAAGAAAAATCCATTCTTTGTTTAAATAAATAAAGGTACATAATCCATTGAAAAAATGCAAACATTCGGAAAAATAAAGAAAAAATGCTCAATAAGATTGAAATCAAATACAATGTTCAAAGAACACCTCTTCAGCCCAACGCAGTCGTGCAATGCGTTTTTCTCACCTGAACTAGCCTGATTATGAAAACATGTTTCTGCAACAATGAAATTTTTTAATAAAACAGATTTGTTGGTAAACGTTAAATGAAAACGTTAGGCTATGTCGTCATAACTCTGGAAAATCTTAATTTTCTTTGAATATTTGATTTTGCTGAAAATATTCAAAATATTTATTTTCACCAGCATGAAGTTTAGATGAGATTGTAGAGATCTATATCGGGTCGTAGCACCAGCACATAATTACCATTAATAAATTAAGTAAAATAATAAAAGATACATAGGCACATCCGAATAAACATACAATGCGCACATCAATGGAAATCAATGAATTTTCATTTCATTACCATTGCTGAAATCTTATAATTTTTCCTTTTTGAAGGTGGGATAATAGGTCATCTCAAACCTAGGTAGAAAAAATCATAAGATTAACTGTTGAGGTCGAATATAAGAAAACATTGCTAAAATCCTTATATTGGGTTGTCCGGAAAATAATGCAGGATTTTGGTATTAAACAAAAAAAAAGAAACTAGTTACTTTAAAGCAATGTTCTTTAATCAAAATAATTTCCCATACTCTCAATACATTTCTCCCAACGTGTTGGTANTGTTGACATTCATACAAATGAGTAATCCTGTAAACGTAAACAGAATATTTTATATAGATTTTTTTTAATGAAAACTTAAAATCCTGCATTATTTTCCGGACAACCCAATAAAAATATATTATAAATAATAATAACTTTTTTTTACAATGGATACCAGGAACTGGAAGAGTTCCCTCCTGAGCACCGTGGCCCCCAACTTATGTGTTAGGATAATCAACAAAATATTGCTTTTTATTGGCAATTATTAATACAAATGACACAGAAAAGAAAATTTTGTTACTTTGAGTGCTAAATGAAAAATAATTTTTTAATAGAGACAAATGACTGAGAAATGGTAAGAAATTTGGCCTAGATGGGATATAGCATGCTCAAATAAGAACAAAATGATTTTTTTTAAAGGAACCGGATTGGTCAACTAAGAATTATAAACAAATAAGTATGATTTTTATAAATAGTAATAATTTGCGAGTTAGGATAATAAATAAAATATTTGCGTTTTATTGGCAAAGATTAATATAAACGATACTGAAAGGAAAATTTATTTACTTTGAGTGCTAAATGTAAAATAATTTCTTGCTAATAGAGTCAAATGACCGAGAAATGGTAAGAAATTTGGCCTAGGTGGAATATAGCATGCTCAAATAAGAATAAAATGAAAATTTGTTTTTTAAAAAAGGATCCGGTTGGTCAACTAAGGATTATTAAATACAAATGATACTGGAAGGAAAATTTGATTACTTTGAGTGCTAAATGTAACATAATTTCTTGATAATAGAGTCAAATGAGCGAGAAATGGTAAGAAATTTGGCCTAGGTGGAATATAGCAGGCTCAAAAAAGAATAAAATGAAAATTTGTTTTTTAAAAAAGGAACCGGTTGGTCAACTAAGGATTATTAAATACAAATGATACAGAAAGGAAAATTTGATTACTTTGAGTGCTAAATGTAACATAATTTCTTGATAATAGAGGCAATTGACCAAAAAATGGTACGAAATTTGGCCTAGGTGGGATATAGCAGGCACAAATAAGAATACAATGAATTAAATTCACTAATTTCGTGGTCCACTTGACCATTTAATATCTTTCAATTAATTAAGGTTTTTAATTGAGATTAAAAAGTCAGTGTCACGAGTGGGATTCGAACCCTCGATCTTCGGCTAGATACGCCGCTGCTCTACAACTTGAGCTCTCTTGATCTCGATCGAATCGGACACTAACTTCCCATCTCAACCCCACCTTTTGAATTTCCCATCCTTTTTGCCATTTTTCAAACTGACACTGACTTTTTAATCTCAACTAAAAACCTCAATTAATTGAAATAAAATGTTTTTTTTTTTTTTTTTTTTTTTAAGCAACCGGAAGGCAAGTAACGATTGAAAAACGAATAAGTACCATTTTTTCCACATATGTGCACTTTTCACAGAATCTTATTAACATAAATGAGTTTTTTATTTACGCAAAAATATAGTGTGAATTTAAAATGTAAGCATTATAACATTGAAATAAATAATTTTGAAAAATACATACATTCACATTCATCATAAACGTACAACAAATGTTAATTAAATGTAAGCAAGAGTTTTCCAATATCAAAGGGCACCAGGCCAATTTTTCCATTGCGAACTCGGCCTACAGTCAAGGTAGCGAAAACCTTAAAATAAATAATTTCCATTTTTTTATTTGATGTAGGACATTAATTATCGCAACCTATGAGAGTAGTATTTGCTATTAAATATTAACACTCCTTTGTAATTACTGAAATGGCATTTTGCCTTTGATGTAAGTTTCGTTTGCTAAAACTAAACATGAGTTATTTGTCAAATACGATGGAATAGTTGTCGAAATATTGTGAAATGAAGAAGTTTTCCAAAATCGGTATATTTTGTGTACGAATTGCTTTAAACTGGCCTTAAGAAGTCAACATAGTAAGAAGTCGATGGTCGTGTTCTATTCTTAATTACTAACTTAACGGAACAAATTTTTTTCCGGTTAGTCGAGCAATTTTTCTCCTGAATTGTTGAGAAAAATAATCGTGTTTCTTGGAGTTCATCTCGGTGCAGTCCAACCAATATTAAACTCTTTCTTTTTCCAAAACACACAAAAAAAAAAAAAAAAAAAAAAAAAAAAAAAAAAAAAAAAAAAAAAAAAAAAAAACGAATATTTAAATATATGAAATTTTGCATGAAACTATTGCCGACTGAAGGCGACTAGTCTGCCCTTTGTTGCAGGGGACGGTCGCGAAGTGCTGCTGGTCAAAGAGTCGGACAAGGTCCTACCTGATGCTCTCGAGGGGAAGAACCGAGCTGGATTCGGGACGGAGCGTAACCGATTCGGCATCCGCGCAAGCTGCCAATCACCAACTGGAGAGGAAGCCGAGCGACTTCTGCCGTACTTGCCCGTACGACATATCCAACTCATCCCTGCGGGACGTTGACGGTGTCGCCCTCCAGGACGAGCTGACCACTTACATGATGGAGCTCGCGAAAAGGCAGCGCTCCTGAGGGATCTCACAAGTCCCCGGCCGCTCCCGGTCGTGACGGGTGCCTTCAAGGACTTCGCTGCTTTAAGGGCAACGTCGAAATTCGACTCGGCGTCAAGTGTGAGCATGATGCATGTAATGATGTTCATGGAGAGAAAATACAGCCCTTTGAGGATATGTTTAGCGGCCATTTTTGAACATGGCGCGCTTCAATCGTCACTAACGTTTACCGGCTTGTTGCCCGGATTACGGTTCTCTGCTTCGTGAATTCCAAAATAATTACTATAATTAAATGTCAAATCATCAAAATTAAAATGATAAGAAGAAACTTTTAAGAATCTTTTCTTCGATGAAAAAAAACTTTCTCTTCAATGATTAACGTAAACCAAATAATTGAAATGTAAATATAAAGACCGTAAAGTCAACAAAGCTCAAATTTAATCAGTATTCTCTCCAATTTAACAAAAAATCCATTTTTGAATCAATACAAGAAAATCTAAAAATATTATTTTACGAAAAACAAGATTTGAAATCAACAAAGCTCAAGGTTTAAACTTTTTCACCTCAATGAAAAATAAATGTGCTAATTAATCTTAAAACGTTAAAAAATGTATTACCAATCAAAAAATCAATAAAACCAACATGCAATGACAATTAAGCAAATAAGAAACAGTAAATTCACAGAAATAAAATTTTAAACAATATTCTCAGAATAATTAAGAAATAACGTCAATAAAGCTTGAATTTCAACATTTTTCACTCAATGAAAACATTTCATATCTGTCCTAATTAACCGTAAAACGTTAAAGAATTTATTACGTACCAATCAATCAATAAAAGCAACATGCAATGACAATTAAGTAAATAAAACCAGTAAATTCAACAAAAATAAAATTTTAAACAATATTCTCAGAATAATTTAGAAATAACGTCAATAAAGCTCGAAGTTCAACATTTTTCACTCCAATGAAAAGAGTTTATACTTGTCTTAAAAAACCGTAAAACGTTAAAGAATTTATTACGTACCAATCAGTCAATAAAACCAACTTTCAATGACAATTGAGTAAATAAAACCAGTAAATTCAACAAAAATAAAATTTTAAACAATATTCTCAGAAAAATTCAGAAAAAAAGGCAATAAAGTTTAAATTTCAACATTTTTCACTCCAATGAAAACCTTTCATATCTGTGCTAATTAACCGTAAAACGTTAACGAATTTATTAGAAATTCAACAAAAATAAAATTTTAAACAATATTCTGTGCAATGTAGGCAATCTATTTCTGCACTGATCAATAAAGATCTTTAAAAATTACTTTACAAGAAACAAGAAATGATGTCAATAAAGCTAGGAGTTCAACGTTTTTCACTTTAATGAAAACATTGTACATTTCATTTTTCTGCTGATTAACCATAAAACGTTAAACAATTATCAGTTATGAATGCAACGGGACATGCTCATTAAAGCACCAACATAAAACATTCCTTTGCTTCCAATCAAGATAAAAATAAATTAATTAATGATGAAAATAACAAACATGCAAATACCATACAAAGGAAACTCGAATGTATTCAACGACGTCATAATTTTGTATTTTCTCTACAACAGTTTTCCTAGTATAACTATGTTCCTACATGACATTTAATTGATATAATTATAGTTTTACCTTACAATTATAATTTGAGTAATTATTAATAATTATTCTTTATATCTAATTATTATTAATAATATAAATTGACGCAAATAATTTTAATGTTTTTTCCACCAATAAATGTACCTTTTAAATTTCAATATTATTTAAGGAAATTTTATAAATAATTGTCAAAAAATGAAACCACGTTTGGTACAAAACCTGACCAAAAAGTAGAAGCTTTTGTATTTCCAGAAGAAATAAAAATTTATATTTAATCGTTAGCGTACAGTGTCCATAAATAACATAACGCGACATTTTAACCACCCTTCTTACGCTGGGCTAAGACTCTTCCTCGACATTCAATTAATCTGTTAATCCGTTTACAATAATTCAAAACCAATAAAGATAAATGTCCTTAATTACCAGCTGCTAAATCTAAATATAATAGTTCAAGATTGATTCCAATAAGCCGAAATTTCAGGAAATCAGTCTAATTGTAATTCCTTGATTAGCAAGTTATCCGTTAAGGCACACCCCATCACTACTTCGATAATTAAGTTTGAACAGTGAACTTCCCGTGTAGTCGATATTTCCAAAACGACGCCAGTGTGAGCTATACCGTATACTGCTGTATACTGTTGTTCATCTTGGGGAAATTCAATCCGAAAAAAAGTTTGTTTGCTCTGACACTTAAGATTTCAATTTACCTGAAGATTTTTGTAATTTAATTTCTTTCGATTTTTTTAGTACACAGGATTAAAAGTTCGATCAATCGGGTTGAATTAAGTTTGGGAAGTTAAACGATATTTTTGCAGATTGCTTCACCGTATATTTTGTAAGGTATTCACAATAAAACCAACTAAATTTATTTCGTTTAAACGCATATACGAAATTTGTTTTTCTTTAAGATCAATTCCTAATTACGGTTGTTCAAATACATGCATATAATCTAAATAACAACCAACTTCTTTAAAGAGTATCTTAATCTCAGAGATTTCATAATAATTTGAAAATAATAAAGGAACAAACAAAATGATCAGGAGTCACAACGATCCGACAATTTGATTTTTTTTTTTTTTTTAAGCATTTGTTCCTATCGTTTGAGGGTGGGTTTTACTTGCTGATTAAGATATATAACCGACAACGTGATAATCGAATCCTGATTAGACGACATTTGAAAATATGGCAAAAAGAAGGAATATTTCATGCAGTTGTAGGTTGCGGTGAGGAGTTGGTGTCCGATGGGATCGAAGTCACGATAGCTCAAGTGGTAGCTGGTGTCTCTAATTTTTCTTTTCGACCAAAACCCTTAAATAAAAAGAATAATTGATTAAAAAAATATATTTGAATGTCTAGTTTAATTTTAAACTTATCTTTAGGTTTCAGCAATAAACACTACGTTCTTCCATTTTGATGGGTTTTTCTGTATTATTGTTTTTAAATTGAAGCACAAAAAGAATCTTTAGTTTAATAGTTGGTCTGAAAGTCCATGAACTCATGTTTAACTGGGTCATCGTGAAGTTTAATAGTTTGACAGCTTCTGAATTGTAGTATATTTGGTCGTTTTCTAGTTTAAATAATAGAAACTGCTTACCTTCAGCAGTTCAATTTGTCTAAAGCAATACTTTAAATATTTGGTATTGTTATCCAAACAAGTTCCAAATTTTTAATTAGAAAACAAACAAAAAAAACATAAATAGAATGCGAGGAATAAAACAAGGCATATGGTTAAAAAAAGTATGTCCGAGACTACATAAAACACTTTGAGTTTGGAGTGCAGAAGTATTTTTGGATTTAATAAAATATTCTGCCAAGAAAAAATCGTTGCAGGACTTTGCTTTACTTTTCTTGTCTTCTATTTCCTTGCCTTCAAAAAATATTTTTCATTTTTTCTACTGATGGATTGCCTCGAGTAGCTTTATAAAATCGATTCGTAAAAAAGAATAATTTCAATACAAACATATCAATACAAATTTAATCTCTTTGAATATAAAAAAATTTCTTGGTAACTGGAAGTGCTTTCGGTTTGAATGATTGTGATTTTGTGTCGTCCGATTATCCATTTAGTTTTCATAATATTTACACAAAAAAAGTGTCGTCACTTGAAACTTTTTTTCTATATTTTAAAATTTTTCACATACGAATAAATATGTATAATGTAAATATGAATAATCTATTTAGTTTAGTCCAAGAATGGATAAACCGTTAAAAATACGAAATGCATTTAATAATTGTCCTCCTCAACTATAAAAGCAATGTTTTGCAATAAAGTTTTCGTTCAAAAGTTCCAAAACCTCATTTTCTTAAATATAAGTTCTAGGCTACACATTACTTAATGTTCAATGTTTACGTTTATTGAAAGTTTGACTGGGTAATACTGCTAATAGCAATATTAATCATATTCCAATTTTACCATCTTTTATTGCTGTTATTGGTATTACTCAAATTTTAATAGTAATTATTGTATCATTGGTACTGTAAGTCCAACGTAAATCTATTACTAATTTTATTATGTTACAACTCAACGACATAAAGGATTCTGCAATTTAAACTAATTATTTATTTACAAATAAATTTATTCAGCATCCGACTTACTGACGAAGTAAGTGAACTGAAAAATAAATATATTGTGTCAAGAGATTATATACCGAAAAAATATATTTTAGAACATTAATTTACATTACTAAGATTAGACAATAAAATTAATGTAAACTATGCTTTTTTTAAATTTTATTGTTGATTTTGGTCGTGGAAATGCATAAATCCACTTATAATTTTAATTCGCCGATAACATTTCAAAAATAATCTACTTTTAATTTAAAATAAAACCTTTCAATAAATGTTTTGAAATGGAGCCAAAATTCGGCGATTCTTCAATACTGGGCGCACCTGACACGGTGTTTACATTTCCCATGAGGTGATGCTGAAGAAAAAATACATTGTAAGGCGGTGCAAAAATGTGGGTATTAAAACAACACTTATTGGACTATGGACCCATCTGTAAAAATTTAAACTGCCAAAAAATTACAGCAATTGCTGAATGGATTACATAAAGAACTCATTATGATGAAGCACACCCTGGGATAGAAGCAGGCCTGCCAAAAAACGTCTCGCCTAAACTTACTAGAGATTATCGGTCACTATCTCAAGTTATTTGTGTCCAATATACAGAAATATTAAGAAATTAATTTTATTTTTATAACATTATATTTATTTTTTCATAAACAAACTATAAAGAGAATTTAAGAACGTGGGATACTGGTCGTCAAGAACACTGATAGTTAAAGTGTCAACGTCAATTTTATAGAGAGGATAGAAAAACTCTTCGTTAGCATGAAACACAAAATTATTAGTGAATAGAGCGATAATCCAGCGGAATCGATCCGTGCAAAGTCAATGACTTTTTTGCGATTTTAGCATCACATTGCAATCAGAGTAATGTGAATCTGAAATTAACTGTGACACACATAAAAGAAAATAATTTAGAAAGTATATATCTCTGAGGGGAACAAGATATGAATATTTTTTCTGATGGGAGAAAGATTAAAAGCTATGTTTCGCATACATGGTTTTTCGCATTTATAGGCTAAATGTCAACTAAAAATAGCTATGTCGTTGGTTGCAATGAATGTCGTAAAAAAATCCGATGTTCTTTGCCATTGATTATTATTATTACTGTCATTTATCACTTTAAAATTTGATATATATCACTTTTTCCAAAATATAACCGTTATAGTCTTTCCGCTATTGGCATTTTATTTGTTGAATTTACATAAATGTCTGGGACTTTTTATACTTAAACCTTTATTTGGAGATTGTTGTATATTGTTTTCTAATTCTAAACTTATCTTATTAATACTAAAATTTACAAGAATATTGTAAATAGAAAGAAAACTTCCTCAAGTGTTTATTGTGATTTCTTTTTAACTAGATTTATAAGTAGATTAAAAATATATTGCTGACCTTGAGCTTATGGATCAAAGCCGAACTGATACATTAGATTTAAGGATAAAACCATCGTTGCGACCAAATTACGCTTAACAGGGTCGAATTTATTTTTCAGAAGAGAAATTATTTTAAATCTAATAACTCTGTGCACTTGTAAATAACTTTAATTTAATGGTTGTGCGAATTGCAAGTTTTGTCTTAATTGAGGTGATCAACCAATTTTACTAAAAGGAAGTCGGCTGTGTTTTTTAGAGGATTCATTACGATGTAACATAGCCCGTAAGTTCGTTTTTGGAAAAAATTAAGTACCAAGAGTGATTGCTCATGTCTGTACAAATGAGAATGAGAAGACAAAATTTAAGCTTTCATTACAATCCAAGTATATTTGTTTACATGTTGAATAGCAGTAATTTTATTATTTTTTATCTTAGAAATAGATTTTTGTACATAAAATTAAACATGTCTGCTAATCATTCATTGTTAAAAAAACCTTGTTTGTTTGTTTTTTAAATAAATGTTAAATGTTTTTACTTTCTAGAATATAAGGTATTTTTACTTGAAAGAAATATTTATTTAATAATAGACTAGTGTAAATGATATTGTATTTTATTAACGTTGTTGATGTTCAATTTTATAAAAAAAGAAAACCTATCTTTGAAATCTACTGAACTATTAATCAAGTACAAAATATAATTGATGTTTAAATGTATGCTGTAAAGGAAAAGACTTGTATTTTAAATTAAAGATGGTGTACACCACAAGGAATTTGTTTTTGTTTTCTTTATAATCTCCTCGTTTTCATTTGCAATTTTATGGAAAAAATCTGTGGAAGTAATAAGAAGAAATCATAGCTTCCTGTCTATTGGTAAGTATAAAGGTGTTTTGAAGGTCTCATGTCACTATTAGAATTTGTTGAAGTCATGAGGAGCGGTCAAGAATCAGGAAGTTTAGAGAACTCCTAGTTCACTTTTTTGGGGACTTTTCGACCTTTATCGGATCATCTTCGGGGCATAAACTGTTGTGCCATTCTTGTGGTGTCATAATGATTTTGTGTGAAAGTGTTGTGGGTTGTGTGTTGGCTTTGAAACGTTCACAAAAAAATGAAAATGGTGATTTTCTAAACTTCCTCATTCTTGACTGTTCCTCACGACTTCAAAAAATTATTTAACAATAGGTCACTAAAGGCGGCGAATGCCGGGACGTTCCACCCTCCGGATCGGACCATCGCGATCAGGCCCCCTGACGCTAAACACGCAGTAAAAAATATGATAAAAGAATGATGGCAGCGTCAGTGGGCGGGGTCGTCGGACCCAAGAGCACGACCGGTAGATGGTCCTCTACCAGTGAGCCTGAGGAGGAGACAAGAGATCGTCCTCACCCGACTGAGGATTGGCCATACGCGGTTGATACACGACCCTTACGGCAGCGAGTTTCAGGATCTCCTTGTAATTTTTTTTTACTATTACTATTATTTTAATAAAAGGAAAAATTTAAAATAAAAGGCACTGTAAGGGAAACAGAATTTATTAATCCAATTATTTCTTTTCTAAAATTATATTCTTCTTTCTTTCAAATTGAATCTTCAAACTTAAATTTTTACAAAAAAATAAAATCAATTCTTCTTGAAACAATATAAAAAAACTTAAAATATAATTAAGAAGTATTTAAACTATTGTTAAAAATAAATGAATTCATATTTACGTATGTACAATCCCCAAGGAATAAAATTAAAGAAATATGGAATAGGAAAAAATTCACACGATGAATGCTGTTTTCCTGATGTTTTCTCATAAGATGATTCTGCACAAGCACAGTTGAAGCAGCTACGTTCGAGGTGGTTTGTTCGCAGTCTCCCAATGGAAAGCATCCTGTCCTCCGCCTTTCAGCCTTTCTGCCCTCTTGTCTCCCACGAGTTCCAAAATCCATCACCTCCTTCACGTTCATATCAATTTGTTTGTTACATCCTGTTCCGCTTTTTAGGGGAATTGGAAACTTTTTTGTATGTAGCCTTCAATATAAGTGTTTTGTGTTTCTGTGCTTTGTATAAGTGAGTGTATTTATTAGAGTGAATGGGGAAAGGCTGATGGTGGAGTAGCATCTCCATCGCACCTCGAGCTGTGTACGAGACTTGCGTCAATGCCGGAATATTTATGAAAGTACCTCATCGACCCCAATTACACTACTTTCTTATTGTATGCAGGTCGATGGAAGAATATTCAGTACTTCATCCACCAAAAAGAATGAATGAAATGTATATAGGTGTGAACGTATTTATTTGTGTGAATGAGTATTAAATGTGTGTTGCTCTATTCCGCATGCTCGGGGCAGAAATGACCTAGCTGTCGGATGCCCCTATTTAAAAATAATAATTTTTTTTTTTAAGTCACTAAGAAACAAGCATTACTATTAAAAGTAATTTAAATAAGAAACAAAAGTACATTTGTAACAGCCCTCCAAAGAGATGTTCCGAAAGCAGTGTTTTAGAGAAATTTAAGTAAAATAATTTTAATCTCTAATAAAAAATAAACGAATGTTAAATCAAAAATTGGAAACATAATTTATATAATGGGTTCAAATAATAAACCTGAATGGTGTATGATGGGACAGAGGTGCAGTCCTTACTGTATATGAACTCCTTACTATATCTCCTACCTTACTTCCGCAATGGCGTCAATAATCCCTTTGTCCAATAATTGATCAGTTTCCATTTCCTCGTGTTTTTCTCCAATTGTTCATCTGAAGGGAGGTTTGTGGGATTTAGGTATGATAGTGATTATGAAACATACATATTTATTCAAATTTTTGGATCTACATTGTAAATTCATTTATAGGCAATCTTTACGAAATGTTAATCTTTACATTTAACAATCATTTAAAAGCCATTAGCATGTTAACAACTGAGTAAGACGAGTTTAAAACCTGAAAAAAAGTTGTTATTATTAAAATTTAACGAAAAATTAAGACAATCGTACCTTCTGGAAAGAAGCCATGTTGAGCGGCAACAGTCCTCCAACGATAAGAACCATCGGCTCCAGGCACATTGTCTGCAAAATATGTAACTTCTTGCAACACCTTTTGTCCAAATGGTACCAGTCTACGCCGTAGACGGAATGACGTAGTTTCTCGCTCTGTTGACGCAAAAGTTGTTTGATATGAAATGTTATATTATCTATGTGGAATACCTCGTCGATGACGTATTGGCCAAAAGTGTTGAAAAATCCAAGAGAGTACACCTCGATTATGATCACGTTGACGGCAAACGTCAATTTTCCAGGGTGTCCTTCGCTCTTTAAAACGAAAACATGTCTCGAAAAATCAATAAATATTTACAAAAATAAAACTAAGAATAAACTGAAACAATAATAATTAGCTTAAATGTTTGAGAAAATACGACATCCAATAAAGCTTTTTTTAAAATTTAGTTTTGAAATAAATTTATAAAAGAAAAATTGACAAGGGGTTGACGGATTTGGGCCGAACGTTTTTTTGGTGATTCTACCCTCCACAATATCGGACACGTATCTCACGTTGACCCTGATTTCGTCAAAAACATTTTGGAAATTGAAATTTTCCGTTTTTTAATATTTTTATTTCGCCGTTCTACTTACTCAAATCAACTATGTAAATACATCATTTTAAAGAATTTTTTTATGTACATCGCAATAAAATTGTAGGAAAAGGTATCAAAGTTTATCAATAACAAAATTGTCTAAAAACCAAATATTTTTCAATTAAACTAGGTCATAAAATTTTTTTCGCAAAACTAATATGAAATTAGCAATTAGCTCAAGCAACTCTAGAGACCCCTAAATATTAATTTTTTTTTATTTCAAATTTATTGATTTTTTCACCCCTAAAATTTTTTCGATTGTTAAGAAGTCGTTCTCGGAATATCTGATTGAAGCGTACATAATTCAAAAATGCACTAAATAATTTTGACGTGAAACATTCCATTCGAAAGAAGAGAAATGTAGGTCATTCAAACTATCAGTCAAAGAATTAATTTATACCGGTTTCCGGGAATGTCGTTATTTAAAAGTTTTATAACGCTAGAATGACGTCAATGAGTTCAAATCCAAGTTTTGACCATTTTCTGAACTATTTTGTTTACAGAATGTTTATTAAAATATGCCAAAACAGCAGTATTTTGTTGATTTATCTTTATAAATGATACCAAATTAGAATATTTTGCATCATAGAACACTTTTTTAAAACTTAACCGACAATGATTTGAGCTTATATAAATCAGTAATCACTCAGTAGGATTCATTTATGAGGCTTTCGAGTTGAAGAGTGAACTAAGTCAGGTATTGAACCGTACAAATAAAAAAAAACAGCTACGATTAATTTCAAATAAATAAAAGTAAAAAAGGCGTACCATGGTTTTAAACTTAAGGCAACTAATATAAAGACACATACATTTTAAGTGGAGTATGAAACATAATTTTTTAAATGATTTAGAAACAGAAAATTAAGTAACATTAAATGGAAAGAAGTGTTTATTCAATAATTATTATACGTTTATGAATTTTACATAACAAGTTAGAGTAGGCTAAACCCGTACAACGTCAGTGTCGTGCCGAACTGTTGGTCCTTTGTTTTCCATATTTCGGATTTTTGAAATGTCGAAATATCCGATTGAAACGAACAGTAATTTTTTTAAATCTCAAAATTACGATTAATAATCATTTAATTGTGACTAAAATTCAATTTTGAAAAATCTTCATTAACGACTATTTGATTTATTAAGAATTCCCTTAAGTCTTTTTACAATGAATTGAAATGGAGTGTGCGCTTATATTGGAAAAGTGGAGGTATTTATGGAATTACTTATTTACACTGGTCAACAAAGACTCCTTAGGTTTGGTGGCAGGCAATGTCCAGAAGTTATTTTGACATTAATTAGTGCAGTTCACTAATGTTGCATTATATCCATCAGTGTAAAAATGGTTATGCGGAATTCTTTCCAGAGAAGAAAATTGAGAGAAGTGACTACGCATTTTCATTGTGTTTTTCATTTACATATCATCTCCTAATTAATCTACTACTAATCCTTTGATAATAATTAACATGATTTTTTTAAATTTGTCTAATTTGGAATAATGATTTTCATGTTAATCCATTTCATGTAGTGGGGTAGTTGTATGAATATCCATTGAATAAAAAATGGATTAATTTACATGGCGAATAAATTATTCCCACAGTTTCCTTCTTGTTTGAAAAGAAGGGAAAAAATATTTCATGTAACATGTTGGTTTTCTGCTCTCCGTGGGCTCGATATCACGTTTTTCAACCTTGCAAAGGAGCTTTCACTAAGGAAAGTTCTAAAAAATGTAGAAATGAGTATACCCTTGGAATATTTAAAAATAAGGCAACATTGGTGAAATCCCCGAAAATTTTGATGGAAAAGTCATTGCACGAGCCACAATAGACTATTTCTAAAAACATCTGTTTGGCCATTTTATTATTCCTTGAGCGGATACTGTTTATTCCAAAGCGGGAATTATTCAACGGAAATGTTGTTATCTAATTGAAAATTTAATGAAGTTTGCGAAATAAAGGTCAGATTTGTATTTTAATGCCTCAAAATGTTATAAATTATGATCTTATATAAAAAATCTGATTTTAGACTAAGCCTCGTTCTGGTGGCACTGAAGTAAGTTTTATTAGTGATTCCACCATGGCAGTATTGACATTTAGTCCTGTATCACTCTGTATTCGCCGGAGCCATAATCTTGCATCTATAAAATTCATTAATTTTTTCCTCCCCGATAATTATTGTTTGTATTTTGATGTTATCTCTGCTAAAAATTTAAATTGGATATCCACCTTCCCGGAGATTTGTCTTTTATGTAAAAGGCAAACAGTTATGATATTATTCAAAAGGCATTAATAATTAAATAATGACATTCATCGAGTTAAATTGGTTTGTACAAGTAGGATAAGAAGAATATGTAAAAAATAATGCGTATAATAGTAGTATATGTAAACGTAGTATATGTTAAAAACCTCTCATTTGTTCAATTACGCGTTTGAACAATAAATAAATATAATAAACATTATTTTTTTACTAATGTAATAGTCGTTGAAATGTCAAAGGTTGGATTTCAGTTGAAAATAAAACATCACATTACAAAAGAATATGAAACGTGACATTTTAATGCATAAACAAATTGCAAATAATTTATCAGTTAATGAATGAAGCGAACATCGCAGCCTTTTTTCATCAGTTATTTTGCTGAAAAAAGGATCATCAAGCAAACGCTTTAGCCTATTATTTCTTGATTTGACATTTTCATCCGAATTGATGAAATATTTAGCGTGTGTGATTATTAACGAAATTATGTGGGAAAGAGAATATAAGCGATCCTGAATAAAAATTTTATACGTTCTTTGTATTATACAATGAACTTTTGAAATTAAATGGTTTAAATGTTAAACTTAACTTGCTTGACTTAGCTGCTAGCTTGCTATATGGATAGGGAGATATAAACTAGCCAAAGGCTGTACAAAACAGTTTGTGATTAGAGCCATTCTTTCCACAAAGAACAGTCATGTGTCCTAATTCATCACAAAGAAGCAAACAAAACAATCCACAAAACACGAAACTGCCTGAGAGAGAGAGAAAGAAAGAGAGAGAAAGAGAGAGAGAGAAAGAAAGAGAGAGGAGAGACAAAGACAGCGATAGCAATACGGATACAGAAAGAAACGAAAAATGAGTTTGAAAAATAAAAAAAGAAAAGCGTAGAGGGAGGAGGATTCACAAAAAAACTCACACAAAAAACACGAGAGAAATGGAAAGAAAGACGAGATGGAAACGAACAAAAGAAGAGAGGCAGATGGAAAGAAAGACAAAAAAGAGAGATGACATGATTTATTCACAGAACCATAAAGTGTGAATGAAAGCCGTGGAGATAAAAAGTTAAATAGAATTTGATCGATAAAGAAGGGGAGAATGAGATATGAAGTAGTGTCTGTGTCGTGCGGAACTGTTGGTCCGTTTTATTTATTTATTTTTTTAAAACTATTTTATTTACACACTTACTTACTAGTACATTTTATCAATGTGATCACAAACCGTTTTTTCACACGATCACCACTATTGCTTCACCGGCGCGATTGAATTGGCGTGGGTGGGAATGTGTTGACAGGGTTCGAAAAGTAGGGTTAGGTTGAAACATTTCGAATCAGGAATGGATTAATTGTTTACAAAAGGAAATCGTTGATGATGTGAGGTTAGTGACGTAGTAGGGAGGTTCGACGATTTGTCTGAGGAATTTTGATTGTTCGAATTGTATGCTGGATGTTGGATGGCTTGCCAGAAACCCACAGTTCCACTGCGCTATGTCTAAAATGGTCGCAGTGAATTATTGTATAAGGTTAGTTTAATATTGTCCGTCAAGAAGGATTTCGGTCCAAGAAGTTTTCGTAGTTGTCCATACCTTGTGTTAACTTCATATCTCCTAAGTCTTGTGTGGAGACTCCAGGTCAGTTTGCTTTCTAGGTATAGACTTGAATGAACATCGGTTTCTCTTTGAGGAGGGCAAGGCTATTTTGAATACCCTAATCCCTGAGAGTGCAGCCATTTTTATTCGATTTTGTCGATTGATTAAGAATTTCCTTAAGTCTATTTACAATAAACACGTTGTAATTTCAAAAATTGGGATATTTATGGAATCATTTATTCTCACTTATCAACAGAAACTCCTTAGGTCTATTGGCAAACAAAGCTCAGAAGTTATTTTGACGGCGAATTCTTCAGAAAATGGTAAAAACATGGATTTGACCTCATTGTCGTGATTCTAGCGTTATAAAAACCTCAAATACCCACTTGCGCGAAAAGCAATGTAAATAAATTTTTGACGGATAATTTCGGCCGCTTTCTGCGTCACTGACATTCCTATTGCAAGTTCTAACATTTTTCTCAATACCTCGCAGAACAATTTTTATGGTTGGTAGTTCGTTTTCAAGAAATTGCCTAGTTTATTTTAAACTGTATCAAGCATTAAAATCGGACTATTATTTCCATTTAAAAAACGAGGTTAATTTGTGACAAAAATATTTTCTTATTTTATGTATTTATTACAGAAATCATTTATACACGTCTTAACAAAGTTACGTTTCACTTCTTTTAAACGATATGTTTGACGTTAAAATCTTTTTAGCAGGTTTTGAATTTTAGCGTTTCAGTCAGATATTCCGGGAACTACTTATTAAAAATCGGAAAAATTTTAGGGGCCAAATATCGATAAATTTAAATTCAAACAAAACTTAATATTTATGGGTCTACATAAGATTTTAATGATTCTATTTGTGATACTGGACCTAAAAATGTTGATATATGTCCGACCATTGTTGCAAATAATCTTTAGAGGAACAATGAATTTAGAAAAATGTTTTTCTGTATATGGTGTGCATGTATTTCTACGTTATACATCAATTGATGAGTTTTTACGTAAGATAAAACAAATAATATGTACGTATTAAATGAAATCAGTTATATAAAATGTTACAAATACCAAAAGTCAAAAATTAGACATTTTTTCGGTGAATTCTGGGAAGTTTTTTTCTTGCTGATGTCCGGTGTTCCACTTATAAAATTCATAACACTCGCTTTTATGCTAATTCAATCAATTAATATCTCTAATTCTAATTCATGCTTAAGTTATACAATGACATGTAGTTTAAAGTTTTCTAAGCCCATGTAAAGTTTTTAAGTTATCAACGTTTTCGTGATTTTCGAAGAAAAAAATCGATAGCGTTTGGAAAGAGAACATTTGAATTGAATTGACAAGGACAAAAAAAATATAATGAACATTTTCTTGAATGTACGAGCAATGCAGCTTCATTACACTGAAATTATTTTTATTTGTATTATTTAAAGAAAACATTTCGAGAACATATTTTTTGATGATTTTTTTCCTAAACATTTGCACTCAGGGGGGAGTGAGGAAAACTATCTACTTTGTTTTTCGTAGAAAATATTTCATAGTTTGTCACGTCGCAAATTAGCTATTTAAATGTATACGATACACGTGCCATGTAGAAATTTTACGTAGTGACCGAGCGACCAATTTTGTTTGTAAATAACAAAAAGAGTGATAATATAACTAAAAAAATAAATAATAAACAATATACCAACCAATCCAACAAAACATATACGCAGATTTAGTACAAGCAGTACAAACGTTGCTCTCGAAAATAAATTTGAAGTGGAGGAAACATAAAACATTTGAACAGTATTTTCCTGGTTTAATTTCAACTTTATTTCTCTTATTTAAGTGTGTGGTGATTAGTGACCGCTAGTTGATGATTATTCAGAAATCGAGAGACGCAAGAATGGCACACTTACGCAGAAAACAAACACTTTGAGTGAGTAGAAATACTTCGATTGAATAAAAAAATATATATTTTTTTGCATTGTATAAATTCACTTTTTTCCACATCCTACATGTATTTGTTAAATTTAAACAATGTTTGTAAATCCCAGGCCCTGAAGATGATCTCAATAAAGATCGAAACGTTGGCACGATAAAGAAAATGTTTTTCTGCAACCTACACCACACCAGACTGCATCTCACGATTTCTGAGTAATCATCTTTTATTTAAATTGACATAAAATCTAAACGTTGTTGTCATAGATTAAAAGAACATATACATTAAAGAAACGTACAATTTGAGTGAAACTGAGATAAGTTATGAAATTTTATGTGAATACTCTACCAACGTCCAGGCGAATCCAGCTCAAATGTGTATATTTTTATTGCAATGAAAATTCTTATTTAAGCGTGTTAAAAGGAATTCCAATTGTTTTTTCTTTTTTCTTAAAAAACGAAAAAATTTGCCTAGTTTACGGGAAAAGTTTTTGTTTTTTCTAGCTTTTTGTGTATTTAATCTCATTTAAAACGATCCTGCTTATTAAGAGTATTTTTGTACCCCAGATAAAACAAAAAATCTACTGATAAATTATAAATTTGAAATACATTCCCAACGGCAGGGAATGTTGGCATAAACGCATGGACACGTCTCTTATTGTATTATTTATTTATGGGCCGACAAACATAAAGTTGTCATCACTGTCCTTCTGCGCTTTAAGCGATTTTTTTTCTTCTTTAGCGCACTGACTCTCATATTTTGTCTTCTGTATGCCTATCTTGCTACTCTTCGATGGCTTCTTAAACTCAGATGCGAGCAAGTGTTCCTCAATTCTGTGCCATGGAAGGAAGACGACGGAAATTTCTTGTGCACGCTCTGTAACCTAAGAGTTAGGGAAGATATCTTTCATTTTGTTGCCCAGTGTCCCATACTGTCTGAACTCCGTATCCTGTATCTAGGCTATAAATCGCTTTCCAGGTCTCAGCTGCTTGATCTGTTAAATATAGTGGATATGGAGAGGTCGAAATGTCTAGCACACTATGCACGTCATGCCTGGCAATATAGGTACGATTATAATACCGAGTCATAATTGTTTAACTTGTATCTAAAATCAGCTAGTTTTTATAATTTAGTTTTTACTTATAGTTTTCTAATATTACCATTATTATATAGTTTATTTTATTTTTTATTTTTCGCTCGCCTGAAAAAAAAACAAAAAAAAAAACAAAAAGAAAACAGCCAACTTCCGGCAGACGGATAAGCATCCATGCTGTAAAACGCTTTTAATATTGTATATTATGTAACACTTCTCTTTAATGTAAATAAAGCATGTTATCTATCTATCTATCTATCTATCTATCTCTCATATTTTGTCTTCTGTATGCCTATCTTGCTAACCACTCGAAGGTACCTTTTTGATTACGTCTCTAATATTTTATGACTTAGTATCGCAAGCAAAATAATTGTTTCGTTAAAATCGGTAATCCCATGTCAGTTAATTTGGTTATTTTTCAAGTCATGTAACTCAAAGATAAATCAAGTTATTTAAAACAAAATATTAAGATTAAGAAGTTAAACTAATAAAAATGTGAAACTTTTGAAGGCTGGGAAATGATGTTAAGCTAATTTAATTCTTACAACGTCCGGGCCATGTTACAAGGGTCCTGTGAAACAGCACGCTTCTAAAAGTGTAAAGCAATGTTGCTTTATTTAATCATGCAATTAACAACGGAAAACACAAAGTAGAAAAAAAGATTAAACCACTTTCAGGAATTTCATTACCAGCAGAAAAATTATGCTTTATGAGCGCGAGAATTCCGTCAATCCCTTTGGATTAGAAAATCCGTCATATACTCCCTCAAAGATTATTTAGCTGTCTTTTACCAAGTTACTATGAAAAGATTATTTAGCCGTGGGATGAAAAACGCCATGTAGGGCATGCATTACCAGTTATCAGATAAGTACAGAAAACTTTTTAGTTTCAAACGGCATTACATCTTCTTAGTTTACTGCGACTTGTGGAAGTTGAATCTGAACCTTTCAAAGTGGTCATCTTCATGAAGGGAGGACGTCGACTTCATATGAAAATGGATCATGGTCTGCAGCAACTATAACCACCTAGGAGTTACAATATCTTCAAAATTCACTATGACAGAGCAGGCCGAGCTGTCCTGTCTCCCCTCGTTCATGTGAGATCTGGGGTTATTAGCAGTATAAAGTCATATACTCCTTCAAAGAATATTTAGCTGTCTTTTACAAAGTTACTATGGAAAGATTAATAAGCCGTGGGATGATAAACTTCATATAAAAATGGATCATGGTCTGTAGCAACTATAACCACCTAGGAGTTACAATATCTTCACAATCCACTATGACCGAGCAGGCCGAGCTGTCCTGTCTCCCCTCGTTCATGTGAGATCTGGGGTTATTAGCAGTATAAAGTCATTTATATATTACACAGGGCGGGCGACCAGGACCCGAGGGGTTAAAAGCCTGAGTAGGCCCGTACCCCATCCCTAGAAGGTCCGGGACCTGGTCGGCTCACGAGTCCTGTATAAACCTATTGGACCTATTCACAAACCCCAGGATTGTGGACCATTTTATCCTGGGGAGTGTTTTGGTTATGTCCTCTCCTTCGAAAGTATTAAATCTTTCCCTAGCATACCTATCGCATTCTGCGAGGTAGTGTCGGGCCGTTTCTTCTTTTGTTTCGCAGAAGCGGCAGAAGGGGTCTGGTAGAGTACCCATTATGAAGAGGTGTCTTCTCAAGGGGCAATGGCCCGTTAGGATACCTATCAGCCTCCTTATTCCCCTCCTAGAGTTAGAGAATAGCCATTTCGATTCTTTAGGTTTGATTTCCTTCAGAAACTCCTTCGATTGTCTGCATCCTGGGGACATATTCCATTCCTTAAGGAATTGTTTCATGCCCCAGCTACCTATACTCTCTTTTGCTGTGCTTAAAGAGTGGGGTAATACCGGTTGTGGTCCGACGAACTCAGTATTTGAACCTTCCTTGGCCAGGCTGTCCGCCTCCTCATTGCCATAGTGCCCCTTATGAGCAGGTATCCATACGAGGGTTACCCTATTCTCATACCTGGTGATAGTCCTATTAATGAGTTCAACGGTTTCCTCTACCAGTCTAGACGTTGATAGTTCTTTTTGTAATGATTTTAGACTGGCCTGACTGTCGGAAAAAATTTTAATATCTTTTCCCTTAATCTTGTTATCCATCAGTGTTCTACAGCAGATATAAAGTCATTTACTCCCACAAAGAATATTTATCTGTCTTTTACCAAGTTACTATAGAAAGATTTATAAGCCGAGGGATAATAAACTTCATATAAAAATGGATCATGTCTGTAGCAACTATAACCACCTATGAGTTCATATGAGAACTTGGGTTATTACCAGTACAAAGAAATGGAAAAATTGTCCGGTTATTTTATTTTAGAAATCTTCTCTTTCCTTGAGTCATTGCCAAATTATATGCTTTCCTTAAACATAAATACGGATAGCGCTTGCATATTCATGCTTGAGCTGCATGTGAAGTATATTCCCAAGGTGCCAACACTGCAAGAATTACGCCTAACAAAAATTACAGCTCTTAAGATCATTGAACAAGAGAGTTCATAGATTGAGCATTGCAATGCTAAGGGTAAGAGGGACCCAAACTGCTTGAGTAGTTTCTTAATCAACTTAAAAACCAATAAAAAAACATTTGAGCTATTCCTAACACATAAAAAATAATACTTTCAATAAGTTAAATTAATTTGACAGAAAGTTTTAAAAAAGTACTTCTAGGATAACGTAGCCGGTGAAGGCAATAAAAAAGGTCGCCAGTGTGAACACGCAGAACAAAGTAGGAGAGGTCACATCTTGAAATCCTTTTTTAAACCTAAAAAATAATAGTTAATAATAATTTTTATGTAATGTTGAACAAATACAATAGTACCTTTTTAAAATGTTTAAATGTGCGATATTTTCGTTCAGGCACAGATCTATTGAGTCCATGTAAGTCCACTTAGTATTATTTTTGTCATTTTTTATAACAGACAGATAATGACTTTTGGCTCTTTTCTCCAAGTTAGATATCGACCAATTTAATATTCTGAGCTGTTCAATGAGAGAATGAGACAAATTCATGAAAAAAAATATGCCAGTGAGTGAAACTATAGAAGTTATACACGGCTGAAATATTTGAATGCTGAAAATTACGTAATGGACGAATAGGTTTTCAGGATCCGGGCTCCACATCGGCATGATTAACCTTTCATCACCGTTTTGTATTTTAATCGATTTACTGTCGTAGAGATCCTCCAGGAAAGGTTCCAGGAATAGAAGGTTGGGTACGGCGAGCGACATGAAAAATACCAGCAACTTTAGGTGTATTTCCTGCTCTTTGTTCACCTCGTTTATCTTAGCCAACACGGATCTGTCGATGTTTTTGTATTTCGGAAATTCTTTTATAATTATTTTATGGATGGTCGTGTTCGCGTCTGCCCTTATGCCAATGAACGTGAAGATGCTCTGGGTGAAAAGGGCAAAAGACGCGTTCAGAAAGTATTCGGATGCGAATATAAAATCCTCCGAACACATGAAAGCCGTGCAGATAGAAAGGATGGAAAAAGGGACGCAGATTAAAGTAAAGAACGTAAACTGGAATATGGTTAAGTAAAGATACGAGCCTTTTGTTTTTGGATAAATGCAAGCAAGCCATAGTAAATTGTAATAAACTTTCTTGTTGTATTCTCCGACTTCCTCGTCCCACTTGGAATGTAACAACCCCATGCTTAATTTTCATCGACTTTAACAACTATAACACACATAGTAACTAAAATGAGGTGTTAATTTTGAGCGTAACATATTTACATGTCTCGACAATTATAACAAATCATTTGCTAATGGAGTTTCTGGAAACAATTATCTCACTTTATCTATAATGCATAACATCTCTCTAATTAGACACACGAATGACTTAAATTGTTCTGTTATATGAAACTCCATGAATAATAAACCTATGATTGTGTGATTCCCAACGTTTCGTTATACCTCAAAAATAAGGACTATGGATTATCTTATTATTCAGGGAGAATTTAACTTCGATTTCTTCTTTTTTATTATTATTTGTTTTTATTTTGTAGCGGGATGCCTTTTAACGTTGATTTTAATTTGAAAAAGTCGTTCTGATGTTACTTGAGAACTTAAGAAAAAAAAGTACTTAAGAAAAAGTTTTTCGGAAGAACACTGTTTTTCAAATGAACGAAATCTTCCCCAACTTCTTGGTAATAATCTTGGTATCAAAGATTTTGGACGTAAATAAATTCTTAAATTCTACGGACCCTGCTACAGTACAGTGTTCAAAACGAGCCGTGTGTTGCCAGGTTCTCTTCATTCTAATTTCCCGCGAAATTGCAGCGAAAACTAGGGTGTCCGAACTTTAAGATGCAACGATTAAAAAAAAAAGTTTAAGTCATGAAAGTAGAATTGGTTCAGGAATTGAGTCATGACAATCCTGACCGTAGAAGTTTTAACTCGAATGGACGTTTTTATGGAATGAAACTGTTGTCTAAGGAAGCGTCGACTAGACTTCCCTAAAAAATAATAATAGCTGCCTGCTGTGAAATATCTCCAAATAGCCTTGCAAAAGTCCGACAACAGTTCAGTGAAAGAATTTATCATTTGCTGACCAAAAATGGTCAAATTCTATCATTGCCTTTAAATATAAATTTAATTAACTACAAGTAATACTTAGGCATGAGACCAAGTACTTAGGTATGATATTAGATGCGATGGAAATCACACGAAATAAAAGAGTGAAGTGCTCACCGTCAAATTCCAGGAAATATACTAGTTAATAGGTAGAGCTCTCTTTTACACATTGAAAGTAAGCTTTTAAATTGTTAACATGTCCCCAAGACTAGGTTGACTTATGACATCCAGCTCTGTGATGCGCCAGTAAGATCAACCGACAAATCACACAAAGATTTCAGAATAAAGTAACGTCAAGTATGGATAATGCGCCCTAGTATATCAGAAATGAAGACTTCCACCATGACCTCAACATGGAAACAAGGAGCAAGCTATCTACAAAACCGTTTTATAACCTAGAAATCTACGCACAAAAATAGGGGGCGACGTTCAAAAGGTCGAATAGTTCCAATGTTGTTAGGACCTATGCCGGTGATAAGAAACCAAGTTGGTACTCCGAAGGACAGTGCAGGCGTTTTTAACTATCTATTTACAGTTGTGGTTTAGATTTCAATCTGAGAGGACGTGTTTTGTGCCGTTCGAGAGGATTAACGACTATATCCACACACGATAAGTAGAAAGATCTTTATATTTGTTTTAATATTTCTCTCTAAATTGGAAGCTTTCCTTTTTTCCTTCTTTTTCTTTTGGTACATATCGATATTTATGTTCTTTATAATTTAAATCACTTGGGGACAAAAAATTTACACGGCTCTACCGGGCCATGTCTACGGAAAGCGGGGGCTCCTTGTCCCTGACAAACATAAACCCGGCAAAGCGTTTCAAAGAGGATGAGGGGTATGTTTCTAATCGGGAGACTTCCGATTTTTATAAGTATATTTTTAATACAAAAGGTAATCCTACGGTTAATCAATCATACTCTATAGTTCTAATTCTGACTCAAGAGGAGTTAAAATCCGAAAAATCCAAAACTAGGACTCTTGTTAGGCAGCGACTCGGTGGAAACCGATTTCGGGACACAGACCGAGGGCCTTATTTTGTGTTTGTGGAAAGCGAAGGAAAAAATTTAGGCAACGCTCACGCAATGATGTTTGGGAAATGGCTTTTTAGGGACCCAAACTTAAATGGTAACAATATTAAGCAAATAAGAGTAGTCGGGGAAAATAGAATTAAAATATCTACATCAAATTATGAGACGGCAAACTATTTGGTAGAAAGTGAGAATTTAAAACGAGAGCGTCTCTGGGTATATATTCCTGATTTTTTGATTGAAAAAGTTGGAATCATCAGAAATGTCGATATTAATTTGAGTGAGGTAGAAATTCTAGAACAAATTCGTTCAAGTATCCCTGCTTTTTCGGTTGAGCGTATGAAAAAAATTATTAGCCAAGGTGAGCAAGTCAAAGTTCTTCCCCTACAAACATGTAAAATAACTTTCTATGGACAATTACTACCTGATCATATTACTATATATGGCGCGTATTGTCAGGTACGCCCTTATGTCCCTCCAGTAAGACAATGTGGAAACTGCCTCAGATTTTTCCATACTGTAGCACAATGCCGCGGGCTTCAAAGGTGCTTGAAATGCGGTGAAAATCATCTAGCTAAAGATTGCCCTAAATCGGCGATTGAGGTAACATGCGTCCATTGTTCTAAAAATCATGTATCTAACAGCAAAGAATGTGAAGCTTACAAAGCTGCACAAGAAGAAAACCAAAAAAAAAAAAATTGCTGAATCATCTTACGCGTCGGTATTAACGTCAAATAGGTTTAACATTCTAACTTATGTGAATGTTAAAGAGGAAGATCCCCTCCCTTCCCTAGCACAGTCTATGCCAAACAAGGCAGCTCGACGGCAAATTAAGAAAAAATCGAGTAAATTGACCCGTGATCAGGTGAACCCGAAACAGTGTACCTCAATAGAGGAAGAGTTTGACACCACTACTTTGCGACCTGCACAAGAAACCAAGATCAACCCGTTGTCTTCTACGGAAGCGGAAAGATTTATACAACAATTAAATCTCCTGCCCAACAAGCTTACAAAAAATCACAAAAACATGAGCAAAACGGAAATGGTTGACGAAATAGGGAGTTTCTTATATAATTTAGTAAAAGAAAACGAGGATAGCATTCAAATTATTAAAAATAAATATGATCAAATAAGTAACGAAACCTAGCAATAGTCAAACCGTAACCTCGTCTATTTACACAAATAGGTCGAAAATTGTCTATATTAGAATCTATACACATGCAAATCTCCTACAACCAATTATTATCAGCATGTATACCGCATTCACACTTAGAATGAGTAACTATGAAGAGTAAAAACATAAATCTTAGATTATTTCAATGGAATACGCGTTCAATCCTTCCGAAGAAGGATAACCTGGAACGGATTTTATTTGAATTGAATATTGAGGTAGCGATAATTTCCGAAACCTGGCTATCTCCGGGATCAAGATGTAAATTTAGCAATTACCATTTTGTTCGCTTGGATAGGGAAGATTGCTACGGAGGTGTGGGTATATTGGTGAGAAGAAACATTCAGTTTAAAATACTAGATATCCCAAATATCCTAAAAGGTGAGGTGGTAGGAATACAAATAATGCTTGCTGACTTACCACTGATAAATTTATTTTCGTTATATTCCACTCAATCCAACTCTTATCGCGATTGGGATGGATTTTTTAAATCCGCAGGTAAACCATGTATAATGGCGGGCGACTTTAACGTACACCATTTAGCTTTGGGTTCTGATTGGACAGACAATAGAGGTATTGAACTGATTAGTGCTCTACAAGAGAATGATTTAGTTTTCTTGAACGATGGATCTACCACCAAAATTAGATCCCCGAACCAGACTCGTAATTCGGCGGTAGACGTCACACTGACATCCTCTGACCTTTCGCTTATGGCGGATTGGAAAGTATTGGAGGATCCGATTGGTTCAGACCATCTTCCCATATAATTCTCAATTTCAAACGTTCCTGTGTGTAAGATCTTAAAGACATATGTGAGATGGAATGTAAGAAAGGCAAATTGGAAGGTTTACAATGATTCTTGGGAAAAATACAAACCTGATCTAGATAATTCACTCGATTATGAACATTAAACGATATATGGATGAAGGTGTGCCAGCTTAGCCTCAATTTAAAACAACTAATTCCTCTAGGGGCAAGGGAAAAATTTGGTGAGGAGGCTGTAACAAAGAGGAAAACAGCGTTTAGGAACTATAAAAATAATCCCTCTTTTGAAAATTTTGAAAGATTAAAAACAGCCTCTCTGGAGGCTCGACACACCTTATACGCTGCAAAAAAAGAGTCATGGAGAAAATTTTGTGCTTCCATAAATAGAGCTACTCCCATTAAAGATATTTGGGCAAAATTAGGAATGATTAAGAACATCCCTACTCCGTTACAGCCTCCTATGGTTTATGGCGATTGGACGAGTGAATTCATTAATAATTTTTGCCTTCTAGGCTCAAGCGAAAAAATTAAGGTTGAGTTAAACATGGTCCACAATTCCTGTAGTATAGAAGCCTCGTTCTCACTTACTGAACTTAACTTTGCGCTAAAAAATACTAATAATAGCTCTCCAGGCATGGATGAAATACACTATAGTATGATAAGTAACCTCCCTCTCTTTTCAAAACGAGCTCTTCTCAAGATTTTTAATGATATTTGGCTTAGATATGAAATTCCTGATAAATGGAAGGATACGCTAGTAATTCTTATTCAAAAACCTGGCAAACCTCCCCATTGTCCTAACTCGTATAGGCCGATTTCTTTGGTATCGTGCGTTAAAAAAACATATGAACGAATTCTAAAAACTCGAGTAGAATGCTGGGCCGAACAGAATAACATGCTTCCATCAACACAATATGGGTTTCGAAAAAATAGATCGATCACTGATGCTCAGCTAGCTCAAATAACTGATGTTCAACTAGCCTTCAACTAATAACAAATCGGTATTAGCTCTTTTCTTAGACATCAAATGAGCGTACGATAATGTAAACCCCCATCTACTGAGACTAAAATTAATCAAAATGGGTCTTCCTAATAGGT